TGCTGGGTTGCAGCCCCTGCTGCTGCTGCCCCAGCTGGAATGCCTGCCGGGCTCCAGTAGCCCACTGCCATATGCTCCAGCCCTGCGCTGTCATGGGCTGCTGGTGCTGGCTATGGCCCTGGTCAGGTTGTCCGGGACTCTGGCCTCACACTGTCATGGGCTGCTGGGGCTTTCTCCAGCCCTGGACTCGGGTCCCTCTGCCGAGGGTGTGGGCTCCTGCCCTGTGGCAGCCCACAGGCTCTAGTTCCTCTTCCAAGGGCTGTTCGTGGTTCCCAACCCCAGCACAGGTCCTGCTTCCACAGGTTGCTCAAGGCTCTGGCATTGGCCCTGTGCTGACATGGGCTGTCGCTGGCCTGATCTTGCCCCAACCAGGTCCCATTGTCGCAAGCTATTGGAGGCTGCCACTAGCTCCTGCCCTGTCCTGCTGCTTCAACCCGACCCCTCCTGGATTGTCCTCCTGCCACTAGGCTACCAGGGCTCTCTGATCAAGAAACATCTGTAGTCCTGCCAGACCAATTTTGGGAGGTGCAACCTGTATTCTGTTTTACATAAGCATGCTAGAGTTGGTTTGAAAACAAGTTCTTACCCCTTACTTAGAACAAACTAGATACTACTAAAAATCATTACACAAAGGATACAAAGAGTAGCACTCATACTGCTTGTATGACTGAAAAAGCACTAAGGGTATAACATATATACTGATATGGACAGTAACATTACATAAAGTTTATCAAAAGGCATTTAGAGCTGTTCAAGACATAACAGAAGCTGATCCTGCCTGTTTTCCATATCTAAATGAGGGCTCACAGAAACAGAGATAAAGACACTTTATGCTGTTTCAATTACCAAATCAGAACTAACGTAAGCTGTAGTAGTTAGTCAGGTCAAAAACTTTTTCATTATCTACAGTAAACATGAGCTAAGAAAAATAAGAATCATGCTGTCACGTAGTGGGAACTGTTTTCACTTACGTGCTGGGTGATTCCTATTGCCCTGTATTGTTCTGTTGTAACTATGTGTGTGTGCCTCAGTTTCCCTGGGCACTGCACTGGCTGGCGATGGGAATGTTGGGTGTGGTTCTCACTGAGGGGAAGGCTGCCCCAGACTCCCCATCTTAGCACATACACAATAACAGCTCAGGCTGTCTGGTAACTTGAGCCTGGGTGGGGGGAGCAACCAGGTGACACCTTGCCCGGAAATCTGAACAAATGAGGAGGCAGGGCTGTCTAGAGAGGTAGGACCAGTTTCTGGGTGCATGAGTTAGTAGTTTTTCGGATGGCTTAGGGAGAAGGGAGTCTAGCTGGCTTAGGGAACCTATCTCCATGATGGATAGTACATAATGTTCCTGCTTACTGTAACAAGAAGTCTATGCTATGCTGTGTCCCTGCAAACCAATACAACTTCTGTTCTATACTTGATGGCTGAGAGTAACATTTGACTGTGAATGGGGCTGCAGAGTCCGGTGACTCCCCACACTACATAACACATGCCTTAGTATCAAAATGAAAAATTATTCAAAGTTAATTTTTTGTGTCTGCATCTGCCTTTTAACTAGGTGCATACAGCTAACGAGTCTGAAGAGTAATAATAGATGCAATGGTAAATATGAATGTCTCAGAATTTAATCAGTTAAATCTTTTGCACTCTATGCACCTGAAAGCACTAGAAAACTTCCAAGACCACATGGCAAACCTAAGCAACCACCTCACTGATTCAATGTTTACAAAATAACTCCAGAAATCACTTCAGCATCAACACAAATAAAGAGAATTGTGTTTTTCAGCCTTTATGTGAAAACATGGTATCATAAAACTAACTGTGCTGCCTTGGAACAGAATCAATTTGGCATTGTCTGGCTATCTACTGAGTCAGTCTGCGCTTAAAGCTGTCAAACCAATGAAAAGAACTGTAGTATAGCACTGCAGAAGAGGTGACACTTTACATAATCTGTGTCACTTGTTGTCTGGTAATTTTAACTTGATTGTGGGTTTTTTTTTCCACATTATATAATAAAATAAGCTGAGAACAAAATAGGCAAAGAGTGCATTCTGCAGAAACTTTCAAACATACTTTAAACCACAGAAGACAACTAACTTGTATGACTCAATAAACTTAACTAATAGCTTACCACTTGTATTTTACCAAGATCAAAAAGGTATAGGTAATTTTAAAACTGACCACACATTTAAGATTCTTAAATAATAAATAATAAGTCCCATGAACACCAAAATCCTCTGCCAGCTTACTACAATGATAAAGCACTGTCACACTATGTGAAGTTCCCAACCCCTTTGTATTATGTTGGATTGACATATAGTACAATTTTGTTGCAAAACAAACCTAACTGGGAGTAAGGGGAAAAAAATAAGCTGTCAGCCATCGCAGTCTTCTCTCTGATATAGTGGAATATAGTGAAAACTGTCACAATTCTGCATAGCTGTTTCGAGATAAAGTGTTCATGGAACATGTCAAAACACAATACAATTTGAAAAAGACATCTTAACTACCCCATGACATGAAATCTTTCACTTTTAGATAACCCTCCAGAAGAGAGAGTCAGACTAGGTTTGGAAGCTTTGAAATTTAGCATTTCCCTCAATACTTTCAGAAGAAAGTCTCATCTGTGTTTCTAAGATAACAGGAAATGAAGTAAAGAAGTTAGTAGCAGAAGCAGTTCAAGTAACGGAGTAACAAATCTGTGTTAGTCACATAAGATGAATATTATCCAAAATAAAATACAAAACCTTTACCACTTTCACTATTAATATAATAACTGAGAAAATGACAGCAACTTTGAAGTATAAAATTAAATAGAGAAATTACCTTTGAAGGTTTCAAGTTCCTTCCTGTAGGAGAGAAAGCAAAATAGAGTCTCAGATTAAAAACAGATATGTTGCATACATTCAAACTGCAACTGGGATGGTCATGTTTTGTAATGGTTTAAAATGCAAGAAAAGTTGACCTGCAAAGGATTTTTGAGTATTGTGATATTTTTAGGAACTTGGTTAATGGAAGCTTCTATATAAATATATAGAGCTTGAAAAATTGCTTTTAGTGGAGCAAGTGAGTGATAGTTCAGTTCCAAAGAAATCAATATCATTTTACAAATATACATTACAGATTTATGTATATTCTCATTCTGTATTGATCTCATTGCAAAGATAATATGAATATGAACCAAGTACAATCAATTAATAAATGAAAGCTTCTTAAATCCACTGTCAGACAGTAAGACATCCCTGCTGCCTCAAAGCTTTGTCAAGCTGTAAGAGTGAAAACTGAATACTGTCTTGCCAGGTTTCAGGACTGACATTCAAAACCCTATAGTTAGCAGTGAAACAGACAAAAATCTGGTAAAATTCACTGTGCTGCTTGAGAAATCTCCAAAGGCACAAGCTAGATTTTAGAGCTATACCCTGAAGCAAGAGGATTCAAAAATATGGAACGAACAGTGACATTCCAAAACTCTGCAACCTGGAAGAAGACAGATTGAGCAGCAAAGAACACTCACTCATCCTCTCATACACATACGCTTCTCTTTGAGAGGGGAGTAACAATAATCTAACATTTTCTTCCTTCTAGCTACTGAGGTATATGGGGGGGATTTAAAGGAGTTGTGTCTTAGAATTATTAACTGATTAATTATTTCATCTTAGGTCCTGCCTCCTGACCTGCTGAAATGATGGCATAAGAGGAGAAAAAGTAAATAGGGCCTGCAAAATATTATTCAATGAGTATTTTAGATTAATTTCAACTATATTCATAGGATAATTTGACAAATATTTTTATATGTTCTGTATCTGGTCAAATACTACAACAAACATATTATTCAGTACCAGTGGTATTTAATGAACATATTCAAATATTTTCCTATTGACCAGCCCAAATACAGTAGACTTCCGATAATCTGGAACCTTTGGGACCTAGGTGGTGCCAGATTATCGGATATGATGGACTATCAGATGGGGTTTTTATTTATTTTACATATACATATACATATACATATACATATACACACACACACACACACTATATAAAGTGTTTTTAACCCCTTTTATTGTAGCACAAGCACTGTCCAGCATTACACAATGCCAGTGGCAGACTGACTCGGTCCCGTCCAGTTTCGCTCAGTTCACCTGCTGCCTTATGACTCGTTTTTTGCAAAAGCTCACTCACAAGGCTCTTGCCATTTTGATGCCGGACTATTGGGAGTGCCGTACAATTGGATGACAGACTATTGGAGTTTTACTGTAGTAAGTTATAATTTTAAGACTTAAATAAAAAAATATTAGAGACAAGAATATTACACAATATAAAAATATATTTGACAATGTCACAATTAGATACAGCATACAAGTGTTATTTCTTTAAACTGTCGGACTGTAGCAACATAGGCATTTAGTCTGTCTGGTAAGCTTATTTGAGTCTAATATATTATGTGTAAGCTTTAAATCTGCATTTTAGTTTTTATGAATAAAAACATCTTCATGCTATTTTTTAAAAACAATTAAGAAACCTATTTGAAAACCAGGGCGTACTTCTCATAAGCTCCGTGATATCACCCTTGTTCTTCCCCTATAAGTGATGGGGAGGAGGAGGGAAACGTGATTCAGCAGTAGGAACTCAGGTTACTTATTCATATACAAGTGATATATTATTAAATTCGGTTTCCTCAGTTACATAGTAAGAGAAAGCGAGTCAGAAATGTAAAGTTTCAAATGATAAATAAAATACAAAGCAAAGGTCACTTGCATTTTCAATAGGACAATTAGGATTTGATTAAGGAATGCTTCTTGCATTTCTTTTAAAATATCTCAAATAAGTAAAAATTATTTTCAGTTTCTATACCTTTCATCCACAGAGCTACTGGAATCATTTTAATTGTCATGTAGTACATTACTTCTTTTGTAGGAATTGCAGTCATCAATTACAAACAATTAATTATATAAAAATTATCTACAGACCAATAAGAATGTCCTTCCATCATGAAATGGTTACAGAAGAGGTGAAAACCCAACATGAAAAGTTGATTACAAAGCCTTTTTTACCCTCTAAAGTACCAGGTCTAAAGACATTTCTGGTTCTCTAAAGGTATGTCTACAATACAGTGTTATTTATTTCGAATTAGCTTATTTTGAAATAATGCATCTATACACAAAATGCATTTCGAAATAGCTTTTTGCTATTTCGAAATAGCGCATCCACATTGAGTGGATGCTGAAGCGCATTTAAGGCCGGCCGGAACCAGTTCCAGCAGGGCACCAGGTCAGGACTTACTATGTGGGGCTGCTGCCTGAGGATATCTGAGATCTGTGCTTAAAGGGCCCTCTCCCTCCCCCGACAACTAGTTCTCAGGTCTCCCTGCTTACTTGTCTACCTCAATGAGGGACAGCAAAACATTTTTGTCTCTGCGTGCTCTGGTTGGCCTCACTCGGGACACCACAGCACTCTGCAACATGGAGCCAGAGCTGCCCCTGGGCACTCTGGTGCTTCTCTTGGACACGTCGCTGTAAGCCTGGCTGCACTTTCTGCAGGCTGCCATCCGGGAGGTCCATCAGGGGGCTATCAGTATCCAGGAGGCCCTGCGGAAGAGCTTCCATCCTGAGGAATCTGCCCCACTGAGGGCTTGTGCCTCATTCCTCCCTCACATCCTTCCACTTACCCCTCTCTAAACCCCTTTCCTGATGTCAAATAAAATACATGTATTTTCATGAACACAAACTCTCTTCATTTAACAAAACTGGGGGGGGGGGGAATTAACCGCTGGGGAGACTGGGAAAAGGAGGTGGGAGAGGGGAAGAGAGAAGTGAGGGGGAAACCTAGGAGGAGGGAGCTGGAAGGGGGAAGCCAGGGGAAGAAGGAGGAGGGGAAGTATCAAACTATGGTACGCCATATCTTCAGTACTGTGTGCAGATGTGATCTCCTCACCCCAGAAAAGATATTTTGGCCTTGGAAAGGGTTCCGAAAAGGGCAACTAAAATGATCAGGGGTTTGGAACAGGTCCCATATGAAGAGAGGCTAAAGAGACTGGGACTTTTCAGCTTA